ATATAATGTATCTGTTGAAGTAGTATTAGTGATGATTGTTATAATGATGTATTGTATCTGTTGAAGTAGTAATAGGGATGATTGTTATAATGATATAATGTATCCGTTAGAGTAGTAATAGGGATGATTGTTATAATGATGTATTGTATCTGTTGAAGTAGTAATAGTGATGATTGTTATAATGATATAAGGAATCTGTTGAAGTAATAATAGTGATAATTGTTACAATGATGTAAGGCATCCGTTAGAGTAGTAATAGGGATGATTGTTATAATGATATAATGTATCTGTTGAAGTAGTAATAGTGATGATTGTTATAATGATGTATTGTATCTGTTGAAGTAGTAATAGTGATGATTGTTATAATGATATAAGGTATGTGTTGAAGTAGTAATAGTGATGATTGTTATAATGACATAACGTATCTGTTGAAGTAGTAATAGTGATGATTGTTATAATGATATAATGTATCTGTTGAAGTAGTAATAGTGATGATTGTTATAATGACATAACGTATCTGTTGAAGTAGTAATAGTGATGACTGTTATAATGATATAAGGCATCCGTTAGAGTAGTAATAGTGATGATTGTTATAATGATATAATGTATCCGTTAGAGTAGTAATAGTGATGATTGTTATAATGATATAATGTATCCGTTAGAGTAGTAATAGTGATAATTGTTATAATGATGATGATTAGAAAAACCGTTTTGTAAAAGTTTGATTTTATAATCATGCCAACACATGGAATACCTTGCGAGTGAATTTATAAAATGACGTTCGAAGCTCTGATAAGAACTTAACATTCTATGGTGGTACATTCACCCTGTAAAACTGTTAACACAATAATGCAGTCGCTTGTAATTCTTGGACTAAATTCTTCACATGTGAACATCCGTCGGACTTCTCTGCTAATATCTAACAAATACAGTTGTCATATCCATATCTCACGCGCTTTTCCCCTCCATTTTCTTTATAATGAATCATTTCTTTCAGGATCTGATCCTTCATGTTGAATTATTTGGTAACCATCACCTAGGAGTTATAGGTTTGAGAATAAATGATATCCTTAAGGTAAAACAAACAGCACCAGGTAGGCACAAAATTGCTGGTGATTTTCATAAATCTAACCAGACAGACTCATGTCACACATTCGAAATTAGGCATAACAAATTTTCGCTTACTAGCCTAGCCCTTCAGCGCCGGTGAACACACACACACAGGAATGAAATTTCAACTGCTGAAGAAAAAATAGAATTTTAAGAATTTCGTCGTAAACCAGTTTGTTGTGTACTAACATCACTCAATAGATGGTGTCACTCGCTATAAATCATTTCCCGGATATGGTTGAAAAAAAAGAACAAGATGGCTGTACGTGACGAGTCATGACACATATCAAAACAATAATTAGTTACTAGATCATATATGCACAGATTATGAAAAACGGAGACCCAGTAGTTCAGCTTAGGACTATTTTGTTTGTGTTGCCAACAAAAGCTCAATTCTATAACAATTAATCACACTGACTAAAGCAGAGATTGGGTCGATAATAAAGTTTCGTGTTAGCTGAATATTAAGTAAGTCATCAATGGAGTTCCTTGCACGTTATCTGGCAGTGAAGATATTATAGACCAATAGGAAGTACATATGAGTTTAAACTGGCCAATAGAAAGCAAAGGATGAATTTAAACTGGCCAATAGGAAGTACACATGAGTTTAAACTGACCAATAAAAAGCAAAGGATGAATTTAAACTGGCCAATAGGAAGTAAAGGATGAATGTAATTTGGCCAATAGGAACTAATATTACGATTCGCTATATATGTGGCTTCGTGTTTAATAATAAACACACACACAAAATCACTGTATGAAAAAGCTCAAAGTTTTTGTGTTTTTCTTTATTCATCTCCTCCTTACTTGTTTCAAACCACGAAGTTTTATTGTTTGACTAGCACTTTCCAAGTAACTTATTGATATTTAGTTTTATCTAACGGGTTTGTGCTGCTATTAACCACTACTTAAAATAGTTGTCAGATTATATTCAAACACTTGTTGCGTTTGGTATTTAAAGGTTGATTAGGCTTAAATTGCTTAATAAAGTTGAAACCTTAATAATAGGTCCGAGTGTGACTTAGTTGTAAGAGTGCCCGAGCTGTGAACCCGATTCTGATTTCGCGACTCGATATCTCGAAAACACACTAGACACTTCCAGGTATCACACCGTTCGGTCAGACAGAAATAAAGATACCCCAGCAGGTAGCGGAGGGCGCTGTTGACTAGCTGCCTTATTCCTATGCTGTCAGTTCAAAATTAGGGACGTCTATTACAGATCGTCATTGTGTAAAATTCCGTAACAAACAAAACGTTCATGTTTTTTCACTGATGCGGGACATTAACGACCATATTTTCAGTAGGCTCAGAGTTTCTGTAAACTGTATACAATACACGCTGGCACTTTCTACAGGTACACCTACCTTCTTCATGTACACCTACCTTCTATAGGTACACCTACCTTCTTCATTTACACCTACCTTCTACAGGTACACCTACCTTCTACAGGTACACCTACCTTCTATAGGTACACCTATCTTCTTCATTTACACCTACATTCTATAGGTACACTTACCTTCTATAGGTACACCTACCTTCTATAGGTACACCTACCTTATATAGGTACACCTACCTTCTGTAAGCTCTATACAATACACGCTGGCACTTTCTACAGGTACACCTACCTTCTGTAGGTACACCTACCTTCTATAGGTTCACCTACCTTCTATAGAATGTAGGTGTAAATGAAGAAGGTAGGTGTACCTGTAGAAGGTAGTTGTACCTGTAGAAAGTGCCAGCGTGTATTGTATAGAGCTTACAGAAGGTAGGTGTACCTATAGAAGGTAGGTGTACCTATAGAAGGTAGGTGTACCTATAGAAGGTAGGTGTAAATGAAGGTACACCTACCTTATATAGGTACACCTACCTTCTGTAAGCTCTATACAATACACGCTGGCACTTTCTACAGGTACACCTACCTTCTGTAGGTACACCTACCTTCTATAGGTACATCTACCTTCTATAGGTACACCTACCTTCTACAGGTACACCTACCTTCTATAGGTACACCTACCTTCTACAGGTACACCTATCTTTTTCATGTACACCTACCTTCTACAGGTACATCTATCTTCTTCATGTACACCTACCTTCTACAGGTACACCTACCTTCTATAGGTACACCTACTTTCTATAGGTACACCTACCTTCTATAGGTACACCTACCTTATACAGGTACATCTACCTTCTATAGGTACACCTACTTTCTATAGGTACACCTACCTTCTATAGGTACACCTACCTTCTACAGGTACACCTACCTTCTATAGGTACATCTACCTTCTATAGGTACATCTACCTTCTATAGGTACACCTACCTTCTACAGGTACACCTACCTTATATAGGTACACCTACCTTCTGTAAGCTCTATACAATATAC